TTTCTCAAATTAAAAAATTTCCCGACTTTGTCGATATCATAGTTATTGATTCTGAGAGAAACAACGGAGTCACAGAATTTCTGCTCTTCAAATACTTTGTTTGAAAGATCACACACACTTTGTGACAGGTCAAAATATGTTATTTGTGTCTCTCCACTTTCAACATACTTCTTACAAACAGATGGAATCTCTTTCAGCGTGTTGAGCTTTGGAAATATCCTTTTCATGAAGCCGATCCCACTTGAAAAGTTTTGTGGGTTGATTCTTAACATATCAAACGATGTTCGAATATTTCGAGAGACTAAAAGCAACTTTTGGAATGTGCTCATCCCACGTATGTACAAAAGAACATTTGCAAAATAGAACGCCTCGAGTTGTACCATTTGATTTTTCTCAGTATATAGTCGCCCAAATACTCCACACAATTTGTTATGCTTCAAACTGACTTTGAGTCTTGAACCTGTTGGTTGTTCTATAGTTAAATTTATAAGAAATAATATCATTTCAATATTATAAATATAATATAATAATAATAGTAAAGTATTAACTTATTTACTAACAAAAAAGAGTAGATGTGTGGAAAACTTTCACACTTGGCTGGTTGAACGGCGGGAAGTATGCAGAGTTAAATAAGTAATCAACAGTGCATTCTGATGTACAAGTGATCATTGCCGAATTCAAAACAAGCATTTCGATATGAGGGGGCAAAAATACTGTACACGAGTAACAGTAAACGACAAGAATTTTGAGGTTTTTGAGTTGAGAAAGATCTGCAGCGCTTCGTTGGCAGATTGAGAGAAAAGTGACACTTTCGGGAAAGTCGATTTTGGGGCAATTTCCAGTTGCGTTTATATTGAGTTCAGTGAGATTGGAAAAGAGAGATAAGGAGATTGGCTCTTGATAAATTGAGTTGAGTGTAACGATTTTGAGACACTCGAGTGATGGAAGAGACAGTGGAAGATTTTCAAAAGAGCATTCCAGCTTTTTGAGATTAGAAACTTTTTTGAAGAATTCATTAAGATTGTTTTGAGAATTTGAGGGAAACAACGAGAGTGAAGTTAAAGATGTCAACATGTCATCGAGTGTCTGAGATTGAGACGGACGGAATGAAACTTCGAATGAACCGAGATTTTGGAGAAAAGAAAACATACTACCCTCGGGAAAAACACAGTTTTTGTCTGAAACACAGAGTTTCGTTAAAGTCATGGGAAGATATCCAGTTACTTGCTTGACCGAAAGAGATTGAAGACAAGGGAGTTTCATCGAATCGTCAAAATAATCAGCGTGAAGGGAAGTGAGGGTCGAAGGAAATATAGTCGTCGGTTGTTCTGTAAAAGACAAGTCTTCGAGTTGGGTCATGTCCCGAAAATCCCACGATTCGTCAACACGGTTCCTGAAACTGAGAGAGGCACAGAAATAATCTGAAAGCATCTGCGGTGATAAAACACCACTTATAACAGTCAGTGGTGTATTTTTAACAAGAACATTACCGACTAGACGATTGTTGTAGTTTTCTGAAAAAATAAAAACGTTTTGGGGAAGGTTTTGCTTTGATAAAAACTTAGAAACGTCTGGGCAATCAGTGATATCGAAAACGATTTTTTCAACATTGAGATATGCGATTTCTTTGATAGTGTCACTGTCAATGTTGTTATTGTGCACCTTAATCCTGAGGAAATCAAAGTGCCTATCCTTTTCGGTGAAGTAGTCAGCAAAGTGTGGAAGGCTGTATATATCTAAGCAAATTCTTTTTAACTCTGGGAACTGAGAAAAGTCGACGGTTGAACAGCTGATTGAAAATGTTGATGATGTGACTCTCGTTTGAAGCTCCTTTGGCATGTCATAAAGATTCATATTTTTCATTACAACACTTACAACCTGTTCTTTGATAAACCCAGTGAAATAATACCTGTTGCACACAACTGTCTCCAGGTTGGGGAACAATTTAAACTGCATGAAAAAGTTTTTGGCTGCAGTTGCCAATTCATCTGAGTTGTGAATGAAAGATGGTGTGATTCGAATAAACCCCAAAACGTCTTGGCACTTTTTGCTAATGCAACTAAAAGTCACAACATCCGCGGAACTTGTAAAATACAACAAAACATTGGCAAGATACACTTTTTCAAGAACAATCATGTTTTTGAATTTTTGGGAACTTAATAATGTTCTTTTTCTGTAAAAACATATTTATTATTTTTTTATTTTTTTGTTATTTATTGCCAAATTTTAAAATGAACATCAAAAATTTTAAAATTAAAATTAAAAAAGTTAAATTAATTTTGTTTTTCAAAACAAAATTTTCGATTAAAGCATCTGGTCAAAAACACTTCAAAAATATAACTTTAATTGAATAATAAAATAAATTATATTTGTAATTTGCATGAATAGACTGCTTACGTGGTAAACCAAAAAACAGCCAATCAGAAGAAAGTGGACTTAGAGTGGACTTTTTGTTGTATAAAAGTGCTCTCAGCAAACAAGAAAACAGAGAATGAATACTACTGAGTGTAACCTGAACTGTAATAGTCAAGATATCACCGCAACATGCTCAAGAAGTCAAGAGACATGCCTCTGTGAAATGAAGTGCAAATGTGGAGCAAGTGGACGTGTCGAAGGAAAGAAAGTAGATGGGAAGTATGAGACAACTGTCACATCAGATCGTATGGTCATCACAACAGATTGTTCAAATGGGTGTCGATTGGTTGCCAAATGTACTTGTGGAGTCTCAAAGGTAGTTAATTGCACACACAACCCACAGAGTGGATGTTCATGTTCATGCACACACTGTTCTTGTTGTTGTGGAAAGCATTAAAATGACTTGTTTGTGTTATTTGATTTATAGTATTTTCCTTTGATAATTAGTACCGATCCATAACATACCAAACAAAAGTAAAAATCCATAAAAATTCAATGTATCATGAAATAATGGATAATATTTCATAATACAAAAACAAAGAAATCACTTCTTGTGACTTCGCTTTGCGTCAAAGCTATGGTACCCACCGCCTCTTATCCTCGATTGAACAGCCAACGTGTTTTTGATTTGTTTGTAGAAAATGTAGTTTTCATCAATCTTTTTATCGAAAAGTCCGTATTGTTGATTGGTTTCCAGTGTGTCATTCAACACGTCCAGAAATCGAAATATTTGCTCAAAGTCATACCCGTTCTTACAGAAATGGTGATGGACAAATTTTCTGATTTCCCAGCTGAAATAGCCATCTGGTTTGTCTATAAACTCGTTCACTTGTTGAATGTCACACTCGTGTGAAGTGATTGGAATAATAGTTTCGTAGTTAACCCCATTTTGAATGATTTCCGTAAGATCTAAGTTGAGGGAGTTCACGGAGAAGTCCGAGATGGGTAGGTGTGTTGATACCTTAATATCCACCATACACCCCAACGACCCGACACTAACAAGTGCCCAAGGGACTGGTTCTGTCACGAGTGCTTTATTAACAAAAAACGAAGGAATATCCTTTGTGTTATTACGTTGTTGCGGATTACCCTTTTTGAATTGGAAATGTTTGAATCCAACTGGATAAGTACTTCAAAAAATTTTTAAAAGATTTGGAGTTAAAAACGTGTCGTAAAAATAGCAAACGTTAGGAGAGAGCGCCTTTTTGTTTTTTTTTGAGATGAGTAGTAGTGTGTCTTCCTCGGCCTGGAGGACGTTGTCGAATTGCGCGTTTTTAACTTGAGGCAACATCGATGTCAAATATGTCAATTGATTCGGGGTCGTCGTACATGAGTGACCTCACGGAGGATCCAATCAACTCGACACGTTCCACTGAAATACCGTTTTTTTCTTGATAAAAACATTTAATTAAATATATTATAATAAATCCATAAATTAGTTTTTAAAAAAACAATAAGAAACTTACAATCATTTCTAGTATCCCATTTACTATATAATTATAGTAAAACAACTATAATAAATATTAAAACGTCTATTAACAAGATATAAAAAACGGATGCGAAAAGTACGACTCCCACGATATTCTTTCATTCTCATTAGTGATCAATTTTTCAACCAATTCCTTGAAGTAAGGAAAATGAGTATTTGTAGCTTCTGGTTCCTGTAAAGACACACCAGACGTGGTAGAAAAATTCATCTTAGGGAAGACACCAGTGACCATTTTATAAATCATCACGCCAACAGAATACAAGTCGCTTTTAACTGTAGGGCATGAGAAGCACGCGATCTCTGGACACAAGTATATTGGTGTTCCAATAACACCATGTTCTGGACTTTTATTGAAGACACGACAAAAGCCATAGTCCGCTATTTTCACTTCAAGTCTTTTTGTTGTGTCTTCACGCTTCAATAATATATTTTCGAGCTTAATATCTCGGTGTACCATTTTCTTTTCATTCAGAAGATATCGTAACCCTTCATTGATTTGTCGGAGTAATGACGAGATCTCAGTCTTGCTGAGGTTCTTTGATTGGATATACTCCATCAAAGAACACTGACAACACTCCATCACTATATAATAATACTTCCTTGCTCGATTAGTCTTGATCCCAAGACGCGCTGCAAAGGACTCGGAAGACTCTATATAATCGAACAAAGACAACAAATTGGGATGGTCGAATAATCGCATAGCTCGGGCTTCACGTTGAATTAAATCGGCGCGACACGACTGTTTCATTGCAAAGCACTTTCCATCCTTTTCAACTTCAAAAACAAGGCCAAATGATCCATGTGAGATAAATCGCTTTGCTTTGTAGTCGTCCAAATTGCCTCGAGGAAGGTCTTGGAACTTCTGACAGCTATTGAGAAAGGAAAATGTCTGTTGTGTGACTTCAGTGGACTTTGAAAGCATCGACAAGAAGCCCTTAGAATCTGCCAAGAACGACAAATCAGATGTGTTAGTTATTTCAATGTTCTCTTCAATCAAAGTTGCGACGTCTAAAATGCCCTTCAAATTACTTTCTGTGTTAAATTGTTTGTTTACGACTGGAAGGATCAACGACAATGGGGAAAGGAGTAAATGTGGAATCGGAGAGACGTTCTGTTCGCATTTATTCTGAAGGGTCGTGAGTACAGCGTCTTGTTTGAACGTGATAGTTTTGACTGATAGATACACTTTATTGTTCTTTATAGAGTCGATGATATGGTACAAATCTGCGTAGAAGTATTTCGCCACATCTGTTGTGATTTTCAGACCAAGACACTCTTCGCTTGTTATGGAGTCACAACACAACACAAAAAGTCCAGCGTTGTTTGTTGTTTTGAATTGACTCACTTTGGATATTCTGAGTAAAAACAAGTCATTGTTTTTACCCAGATTTAAAGCTGTTTCGACCGTGTCGACGTCGACTTCAAAATTGAGTTTTTCAGTTTCGATGATATAGAGAGTAAATTGTTTGACTAATTTGTCGTTTCGAATGATAGAGAGGAGCTCGACAGAACCAGACACGCCCAAATCGATAGTTTGTTGTTTCACTATTTTATAAGTAACACCGACGTTCAGTGTGATGAAGTCGACGAGTTGAGTTTCCATCAACAAAAAATTGTTTGGTTATAAAGTTAGTCTAGGTTTATATTCTTTTAATCATTCCGTCTTTCCTCATCCATTTCTTTGACTGAAAGTAATACAACTAATACACTCATTTTTCCACTTTTTGTATTCAAATCGCATTTTGGTTTCTCATGTTCTATACAAGAAATAAGACCAACTTTTAAGTCTGAAAAATGGGAGGTTTACGTGGTACAAAATTCCAAAATTAAACAAAAAAGAAGAGACCTTGGGGTATTATTGCCGAAAAAAAGTGAAGAGAAAGTCATTAGTGTCATGAAATGAATTCAGTAGAGTTCGGTATAATTGGACGAAAAGCCCGTAATTTGTAAGAAATAGAACGAAATAATTGAGTTGTTCAACCCAGTAAAAAATCATTTTCTTCCAATTTTGGTATTAAATAACATTTGTTTTGTTTTTTAGTCACAATTAGTGTTGCTCAATTCCCGTAACTGTAAATCTATTTTGTGGTATTTCTAATGATACCGAACTTTAAAAATAGGTGTAAAAATTTGATTATTTTGGGATTATTACTTCATTGTGAAAATTAATTAAATAGTATAGTCCATTTATCACCGCATAATCGGGTTAGAATTATACGATTTCATAAAACTAAAGAAGAATATTATTATTAGTTTTTTAGTATGGGCTAAATTGTCGAAAAAAATAATAATTGTTTTTTTGTTGTTCATATTATGATTATTTTTTATATATAAAACGGGATAATTAATTGTAACCCTTAACTTGAAATTTGTTTGAAAGTTTTTGAAAACTCATTATAAAGTCCAAGTTAGAAATGATTTTTGATTTTTTTAATAACATGTGTAAATTTATCATGTTAAAGAAAAAATATTTTTTGGATTTTTTAGGTACAATTAAAAGGTTAAAAATAGTCACATTATAATATTGTAAAATAAATCTTTATTATATTTACTAAGTCCACTTTTTCTCGTAAAAAGAAATAATTACAATACGTTGTGTTTGTTTTAACAGTTGAACCTAACTGTTATAGTGATTTTTTGTGTATATAAAATAATTAAATATGAGAATAATAAATATAAAAAACAAACTCAAATTAAAAGTAATATTTTTAATTGGATTACAAATCAGTTAGGGATATTTTTTTAAATTAACTTTAATAATAATGAAATATAATATATAATAGTTTTTACTCAAAATGAATAAAGTCAGTGAGTAATGGTTGAAAGTTGATGAGTTGTTTTGGTTTAAACATAATTAAAAGTGAAAGTATAAGTAATAGTATAAATATAAGCCATATTTATTTTTTACTTTTTTAATTTTGAATTAATTGAATAAATAATGATTCAAATTATAATATGTTCCAAAATGAGTAAAGAAATAATTTAACAATAAAACAAATCGTACAACATTGAATTGTAATTTATAAACCCATTTTATTAACAATGGTAAACTTCTATTCAATTGTTAACACTATGAACGGTGTTAACAATTAACACTGTTCATTATTTTTTGCAAAAGAAAATTCATACTTTTTATCACTTTTTAAGTGAATTGAAGTCTACTAACTAAAATATGTGACATTATTTCAAATAATGAAATAATAACTTTACCTATCATAAAATTTGAATTGAATTATTACTTGTAAAATAATCATAACTAATTTATTTTAAATCACCAACTTGATTATTTTGACACTTTATGAAAATAACAACAATAAAAAACAAATATTTTCAAAAAATAACATGAATTGATTAAATTATACTATATTTGTCTTATGAATAAAACAACATTTGGATGTTTGTTTGTTTTCTTTAATAACAATTAAAAACAAGATTATTTAAAATAACAATTATTTTAATAATATTATTTGGATTAAAATAATGACTATTAACATAATATTTACCAATCGTTTTTTTAATTTTGGGATGACTTTGACTATTATTTGATCATTATTGTTTAAGAATATATAAACTTATTGATTATCATGACTCACCAACAAATTCGTCAATTCATAAACAAAAACCCACCTCTGATGACTCTTTTCTCTTAATTCTCATTTACCAATGAGGCATCAATAAATGTCCTATTAATTTAAAAACCCATTCTCCAATATTACAAATTATAGTAGCATCAACCATTACATATAGTTTACTTCGTTCAAACCGAAATTGTTGTATTATTTATTTATAATTTTTTGTTAATAAAAAAGTAGTACTGTAAATAAACCAAAACGGAAATACATACAGACAACAATTAAAATGTAAGGAGGGTTACTTTGAGTCGGTTTTCTCCTCTTTTTTCTCCTTTAAGTCCTTCGCCTCCTTTGATTTGAGTGGTTTCCTCCTTGTGTATTTTCGCTTGGGCTTTTTCTCTTCGTCCTTCTTCTCTTTTGTTTTTTTCTTTGTCTTGGTGATGCGTGTCTTTTTGGGCTTTTCGTCCTTCTCAGTAATTGCCAGTGCACAAGCCTCTTGTTGATTCTTCAGTTGTAATTTGTATGCGTCGATCTCGGTTTTGTACTTTAAAATGTCTTTAGAGACGTTCTGAATGTCAAGGAAAATGGAAGAGGTTGAGTTTTTGAAGGAAGTTGTTGTTGATGTGACGGTGTTGTTGTCTGTCCGCAAGCGCTCATTTTGCTCTCGAAGAACAGAAATTTCGTTTTCGTTAACTTTGTATTGGACATATTCCTCGAGAGGAATATTGATCTGGTTGTCATTCTGCGACATTACAAGTCTGCCTTTCGAGTTTTTTAATTCATAAGATTTTCATTTTGTAAAATCGAATTAAATTTGTGGAAAAAATGGTAACCAAATCTTTTTGTTTTGTATTTAGAATTGTTAATATTAAGAAACTATTAAAAATACCCGTAATTTCAGTTAAGAAATTCAATAATAATGATTAGTTTTTATAAAGTGGCATTATCAATACAATTGGTGATGGTATTTTTTTTCCTTTCAACAAATTTGTGTCGTAAAGCAATTGTTTTAAAAACGGATTTGAAAGGAATGAATAATTATTATTGAAATGAACTTTATCGAAAAAATTGTCTTTCACTTGTTATTTTAAATTATAAGTATAATTAATTTTTATTATATTATTAAAATATATTTATATATATATTTTTTTTGTTTATTATTTTATTATAGTTGTTCTTATGGTTCTCTTTAAATTGAAATAGTAAGTAAATATTCACAAAATTAATATTGCATTTCTCATTTATTCAAAGTAAAAAGATTTTTGTCAATACCTTCCTGTCGACAAAATTATTAAAAAATGAAAAAGTGAGACGAAAAATACATTATGATTTTTGTTTAATAAAAACAAAATTATATTTTATTATATTTTTAATATTTTATAATAGTATCGTTAGTTTTTTTTGTCATATCATAAAATAAGTTGTTTATAAAATTAACAATGAACAAAACAATTGATTACAATAAAAAAATATTTTTGGCATTATCAAACATATTTTTTATTATAACATTTTTCTTTATAATTAATATATTTATAAATATAGTTAAAAGTTTAATATTTATTTTCAAATCTTAAGTAAGAATTTTGAGTATTTAAATCAAAAATAATCCAATTTGTTTCTTAAATCATAACAATAAAATTGTATTGTTATTTTTGATAATTAATAAACTAAAATTAATTAAAAATCGGAAAACCAATTTTTCCAATTTAATTTTGATTTATAAAAAAATTGTTTGAAAATAATTAATAATCCAAAAGTTATAGCACAAAATAAATAAAGTTTTTTTTCTTTTTTGAACTGCTTTTTATTCATTTTATTCATTTTTAATAATAAAATAATAATAACAAATATAATACAAATTACCATTTGACTAAAAAACATCTCTACAAAAAATATTCAGTTTTTAAAAACAGTACTTCACAAAAAATTATAATTATTTATTCAATTCATAATAATGAAAAGGTTAATAAGACAAGTAATTCTATTTTTGCACACAAAAAACAAATAAAAGACAAAAATTTTGATTTGTTATAAATTATAAAAAAGTAAATTTTTAAATTAAAATTACCATTTATTAATAATTTAAATTAATTAATAATTTTAATAAAAAAAGACATTTTGTATCATTTTTAAATTATTATAGATATTAATAATTTAATTAAACCAATATTACAAAATATATTAATAATATTTTATAACAGAATAAATTATACATTAAATATTATAATTATTAATTAATATAAATAAAAAAGGGCAATTACAAAATGGCATAGATAACTAATACCACCAGAATAGTTAATATTATAATACCAAATAGTAATAAATATGCAAATAGAGTAAAGGAAGAAGATAAAGCTAATGAACTGGAAAAGGAACCCTAAAGAACAAGAAATTGACAATGGTGTTCACTCGATTTGTGGAAGTTGGTCGTGTCGTTTTGATTAAGGCTGGTCCTTTTGTCAACAAATTAGCCGTCATTGTAGAGATTCTTGACCACAGCAGAGTACTTATCGACGGTCCACAGGCAATCACAGGCGTGACTAGACAAGTCATCAACTTGAAGCAGGTCGACTTGACCTCCTTTGTCGTCGCTAATGTCACAAGAGGAATGCTCCACAACAAGCTTTGCTTACGTTTCGAACAGGATCACATCGTCAAAAGATTCGCTAAAACAGCTCAAGGAAAGGCTATTGAGAGATTCAACTTAAGATCCAAAATGACTGATTTCGACGCCTTCAGAGTTAACAAGATTAACAGAAACATTGACGCCGTCGCTAGAGCTATTGCTTTCAAGAAGTCTAAGTGATTCCAATATTACTGACTCTTTGGGGTTTTTACTATTCATTTATAATTCTTTTCTATTACTTTATAATTTTCTCTTTTTAGTATATTTAAGTGGTTTGTTTCTAATTCTTTTTAATAACTTACAACTTGTGTATTTTATAACGAATTTACTATAATTTTACTACTAAAAAAATGAATGAAAAAGTCAATAGACCTTGGTGAAGGCACTCATACACCTGTCTTCGGTACGATTTGGGATTGGGCTTTGTCTTTCTGTTAAGCATATTTGTTTAAATTAATTATTTTAATATTGCAAACTATAAACACAAACGGGACAGTCTCACTTCTTGAAGAATTCTGTTTGTATTGGTCTATAAAGTCTTGGCGCTTCTGAAGTATATACTGTGCTTCTTCAATACGGCCTTGTTCGATGAGTGCTTTGAATTGGTCCCGATTTGTATCCATTTTTTTATTGTTTGAAGATTCTTGTGTGAAATGGTTTTCTTGGTACATTATATTGAAGATTGTTTTCTAGTAATTATGCTATAAAACAAACCATTTTAAAAACACTTAAATATTTTAAATAGAATTTGATTCAAGAGACAAAACTCAAAGTCTATGAATATAAGCCGACAGTCTAAGACTGCTATTCCATATTAACATGGCACAACAATTCATTGATATTGGTGCAAATTTGACTGATAGTAATTATCAAGGTGTTTATCATGGTAGAACATTGCACCAAGCTGATTTGGATATTGTTCTTAAGAGAGCTGAGAAACATGGGTTGAGTCATATCATAATAACATCTGGGTGTCTAAGAGACTTGAAAGAAGCGATTCAGTTAATTGAGAAGTATCAACCGACGACTCATATAAAACTCTCAACAACAGTTGGCGTTCATCCGACACGAACAAACGAATTAAAGACTGTGGGATACTTTGAGGAAATGATGGACATTTGTGAGAAGAATATGGAGAAGATTTGTGCTATTGGCGAATTAGGGTTGGACTATGACAGACTTCATTTTTCGGATAAAGCTACTCAATTTGCTGGACTGCGGAAACATAAAATATTACATGAGAAATACCCACACCTACCATTCTTCTTTCATTGTAGGAGTGCCTGGGAGGATTTCAAGACAATCTGTGAAGAAATAGGATTTGTGAATTGTAAAGGTGTTGTCCACTGCTATGACGGTGACGCGGAGACAATTGTGGAAATACTGAAATTGGGATGGGACGTCGGAGTCACCGGCCTTTCGTTGCAAACGGAAGACCAGTTACAAGTGATGCGAACTATCCCACTCGATCGATTACATATAGAAACCGACTGCCCGTACTGTTCCCTCAAAAGAAACTCTGCTGGGACCAAATTTCTGAAGAACAAGGATTACGGCGTGAAGGAAGAGAAATACGACCCAACTAGGGTTGTCGCACGACGGAATGAGCCATGTCTCATATTTGAAATCGCCACGATTATGGCGAAAATCATGGGTATAGATCTGTTCACGCTCACAACAACAGTGCATGCGAATTCAATGAAAATGTTTTTCCCTTAAAGCGCGTTGTGTCCTACCCCAAATTTAATCAACCTTTTATATGTTCTTTTTTAAGTTCCTTTCAATAACTCAAAAAGTACTAAACGTCGTTTTCAATGGAAATGGAACAAAAGGAATTTGTGTTGATTAACTTCCCAGGATTTTCTAAGGACCCGTCAGCACCTTTAGACGAACAAGTGAATTCGATGTGTAAGTGCTTTGGTGGGACTGAAGCCGTTCAAAAATATATCCGTGGCGAGTCAGGCAAATTACAATTCACGTTTAGACCATCAGACCTGTTTTCTTCGACTTTCCCCGTTCAAGCAGAAAAATGTAAAAACAAGATTCTTGTGACTCGCAAGAATGGGAACATCGCTTTCAAAGGAAAAGTCACTAAAGAGATTAATATCGATTCGTTGGCCCCTTTCCAGGTGATCGACAGATCAAGCTTTCGATTGATCCTCCCAAGCGAACAACCCGTCGATTTCCCTTTTGAAATAAACACAGGCCGTACTACTCGTGTGTTCCATCCGGCTCAAGTCAATTTCCAACAAGGCAAAGAGCGTACAAAGATGTCATTAGAGTCACACCCACACTCTCTACCTTTCAGAAAATCAAAACTTCGGGGTAAAAAGACGGAAGACAGTCAAGTCTCTGTTACATCGACTCTTGAAGCAACTGATCAAGATCTTGAGTCTCAAATCGATAAAGAAAACAGTGAAGACTATCTTCCAAAAAGTACTTTATAATAGATTGTTACAAACTAATAATCTGGTTCTATTATACTATATTAGAACTAAACATGTTATAGTAAGAATACTACAATTCATTATAGTTTAAATACAATAAAAATATAATTTAAATTCAAATAGTTTCTTTAAGTAAATTATAATGATTATTATTATTAGTTTCAAAATTATTTGCTTAAACTATTGAAGGCAAACTATTTTACAATAAAAAATAACTTAGTCTTATTAAATTTAAATAAGACTAAGTTATCGAACTATACTATTATTAACAAGAGTAATATAGAAATAATACTATAAATAATACTATTATTAACTAAAGATAATAAAAAACGTGAATTACTGTTTCTTCTCTTCAGACTTTTCATTCTCTTCTTTTGGCTTCTCCTCGACGACTATTTTCATCAACGAGTCATAAGCGCGCTGCTTCTCTGCTTTTGCAAGGTCGGTGTTTTTCCTCACTATTTCACGGTATCTCTTGATAAGAAGATCCTTCTTCTCCTTTTTCTCCAATTCGATCTTCTCCTTAAGCTTCTCGTCTTCTTCTTTCATCTTGTTAATGCAGTCCACGAAAGTTTTGTCGACGTCGACCTCAAGATCGTCTTTGATCAAGTTCTTTGGTTGTGGGCGCCACAAAAGCCCTCCGAAGTCCTTTTTAAAGCTTTCATATTTCAAAACGCCATAACAGTCGTAGAGCAAGAACCCATTTTTGGCATGAGGAGAATAGACCGCGGATCGAACAGCCGCGACGTATAATCCGATTGGGTCCCAAGCCAAATAGTTCATATTCTCAATTGGGACTTTCTTTAAATAGACCATCTTATCTGTGTTATAGAAATACAAGAAAGGTTCTGGTGTTCCGATACCGGAGATAATGAGGAATTGGCCATTTGGCGAATATGAAAGTCCTTTGGCTTCGATTTCCTTTGTTTGCATAACAATCTTGATTTCCTTAGTAGTGATGTCGTAGCAATAATATGACGGGAATTGATTGTCTTGTCCCTTTTTGTTCTTGTGATAGACCAAAGCAGACATTTGGAAGCGAGTTGGGTTGAGTGCAAAGGCCAAAGGACTTGCATTGAGATCGACAGAAGCGACAGTGATCTCCTTGTCCAATGAAAAGACGACAAATGTGGTCTTTGTGGGTTTCAAACAGCGAACCACCAATTTCTTACCAGATGGATGCCACATGAATTGTGCGTCTCTCAAGGAGAAGACAATGTGTTTATATATCACTTCGCCAGTCTCGACGTTGTAAAAGTAGAAAAATGTTTTTGAATTGTTTTTCTGTGCCGCGTCGTGGTAAGCCACTAATATGTTCTGCTTTGGACTCCACGAAAGTTGGTCAATTTCAGTTTCAAAAGTGACCAACTTGTTCCCAAGTAACTGAAGGACTGGTGTTGTATAGATTTCAACTGAGCATGGGTCGACCTCAGAGATCCTCGCTAAGTACTTTTCATCGTGTGAAAATTGGACAAGATCTTTCCCAATGGGACTCAACACTTTTTCTTTTATGATCTTTTCTGTAACGCTCTTCGCAGTCGTCGGTTTGATATCAAAATATTTCACACCTTTAATAAATCGTCTATCCCATACTATCACATGTTTCCCGTCTTTCGCATAAGGCGAGTACGTCGCAATGAAAGTGTCATAAGGGGAAATGGTGACATGTGTCATCCCGGGATGAGGAAATTGGAATTTCTTCTTGTTATCGGGTTGTTGTACGATGAGTCCTTTATCCGTCACTGCATACAAGAAAGTCCCTGCAGGGGAGAACGCAACATTAGTCGAGCCAAACGGCTGTTCTTCTGTCAGTGTTGGCTCAGTCGGAATAGTAGGGTTTTCCCATCCTAGGGTTATACTCTTCCCATACTCGAATAAGGCGAAACACTCGTTCCCGTTGATATATTTCTCGTCTTTAAGCCACCCCTTAAAGTCGTTCACTTCGATTGGGTTAAAGATCATTGGAGTATACTCGTCGCTTTCCTTTAAAATCGCGTCGATCTCCTTTTTAGTATAAAACTTGAGTGTATTGTTATTATCAAATTTCAACTCGATGTATCGCGACTTGAATCGCATAGCGGCAGCATCATCTTTGAAATCAACAAACCCTACTCCTGTGGTCTTGTTTGTGGCTTTGTCTATATAGATCTCTACGTTCGAGGGGTGATCTGAAAGCTCGGCACCGTTCTTTAATAAGACCATTTTGCGAAAGAACAGCGTCAACTTCGGAACTACATTCGCCCCGACTCCTGTTGGTAAACCATCACAAATAAGGACTGATCCTTGTGTCACAGTTGGTTGTTGCTTTGCAGCAGACATCGTCTGGGATAACCCTGGTTTCTTTCTTCAATTTGCAGGTTACTATTCATATTAATTAAGTTTATTATAAGTATAGTTTGTTTCCCATGTCAACTATTTAATATAGTATTTTACTATTTATATTACCAGAATGGACACATTTGATAAAAACGATGAAAGGAACAAAAAGGATTTGATAACAAACAAATTAATGGATGAGTCAAAAAGGACGTTCGTTTCGATTCATTGCATAATCACGAGCTCTGATTTCTAATGGGGTTGTGTATGAGTATTCGGGCATACAAGAAATGTTTTGGAACGTACATTGGCCACTTTGAGGTGCTTTGAAGAGCGCTTTCTTACTTCCTTGGTGCTCGAGATCAATAACAATTTTGTCTGTAACAAATTCATTCATTTCGACTTCATCTGTGAATAAATATGGGGGTGGTACGGTTGGGATAATACGCCATATGGTAGTTGCGTTGTTGTTCATTTTCTCTGGATTTTCCTGTTCTTTTTGCCATTTTTCCCCAAAAAATTCAAAACAAATTTCGTTCTATGAATTTTGGTTTTGAACGCCGAAACAGAAAAAGTGAATTAAAAATGAGTGAACAACCACAACGTACCCCTCACTTCTTACTTAACCCCATCTTGGTCATGTCTGAATATTCTCGGCGGTCATACCTCTCACATCCATTTTTTATATCATCCCGAGGAAAGTCTCGATACTCACGTAGACGTTCATCAGCCCTCTCGTATTTCACACCCTCAAACATGTTATAATGTGTGTCCCCCCTCTTCTCGCTTTTTCCGTAGCTATCCCTCCCATGACTTTTTTCTTCAAACCTCTCCCCATCTCGTTCTCGATTTTGATAGCTTAACTGTTCTCTCATTCTGCCATCGACACTCTCTTTCTCAACCTCGTTCCGTCTATTTCGATCTCGGTCAAGTGGTTCGAAGTTACAATCATCAAAGTCATCATATCTCGAACTAATCCCATTAGAACTGTAAAAACCAAACCTCCCCCCTCTCTCTGGCTTCCGCTCATCAAGCAACTCACTCCTCCGACTTTCCCGACTTCTACTCCGACTCCTTGGCCTTTCTCCATCTCTCCTTCCCTCCTTCTCACGTCGTTCCGTAGCTAAGTCAACTCGAATGTGCCGCCCCATAAACGTACTCCGGTTCGCATCTCCCAACGCGCGATTCGCACACTCAACAGTTTCAAATTCAACATACCCAAACCCTTTACTCCGACCAACTACACTCTCCATAACAACTACATCAACAACACGCCCATAGCGCTGGAAATACTCTTTCAGTTCAAAGTTCCGCGTCTGGTACGACAAATTCCCGACAAACAGCCGCCGACTCATTATTATTTAGTTCACCAGTTTTCTTTTTACCATCTTCTTTTCTATTTGGCATTTTTTGTTGAGAAAAGTAAAGTTTATTTTTCTTCATTTCATACCATTCGATTCTTATTAATTTATTTATCTTTGTTTTAAAACAATTAAAGTTTTTTAATTGTCATTGAAGACTTTTGACTCGAATTGTGATTTCTCACAAGTTTGAAAAATCAAAATAAAAAAGTTCAATTTTTTACTTCCAAATTTTTTTTTCAATACGGTAATAGTTTGATTTATTTTACAATAATATATTAGTAAATTGAGATGAACAAAAATAGAAAATAGACAATCCATTAAAATATATATAGATTTAATTATAGTATATTTATTATAATGTTATAGTAACTAGACATTGAGAGTAAAAAGAAATACGAACAAGTTAGACCACCTGGGACTGAGCTGGTTTCTTCTTTCCCTTTGTGTTAACAGCAGTTGGGACATTAGGGAATACACCACCATTGATGATAGTGACGTCTTTAAGCAAGTCGTTCAACTCGAGATCTGATCTGACTGCGAGTTGGATATGTCTTGGTGTGATTCTAGTCTTTCCAAAGTCTTTTGCTTGTCCGCCAGCAAGTTCCAAAACTTCAGCGACCAAGTACTCAATGACAGCCGTCAAGTAAACTGATGCCATTTTGTTGACATGTTCTCCATATCTTCCTTTCTTCAATGCCGCATGAATTCTCGCAACTGGAAATTGGAGGCCCGCCTTCTTTGACAAAGTGTTCTTCTTTCCTTCCTCGTCAACCTTCTTTGTCTTCTTATCAGTCGATTTGCGCGGTTTCTTCTCGACTTTCTCTTTCTTGACCTTTTTCGCCTCTTCTGCAGCCTTTTTGTCGGTCGCAACTACTTCTTTCACTTCCTCCTTTGCAATTTCTTTGTCAGCCATGTGTTCAGTACACAATTTGATTTGCTAGTTTGGTACTTCCTTTTATAGTGATCAAAGTCTCTTTTTGAACCCTCTGATTCGGGATTTCATCGCAAACTATTGTTTACTATTTAATATAGTTTTATCTTACAAAAATCTCAACTCTAACGAATAACCCTTGAACTATGGTTCACTCTATTTTGCCATATTGTTATTATAATACACAATTATAAAGTAAATTGACGGGTTTTAATAGCTAATAGTAAAAAGTGATACAAATTGATTATCAAGTTTAAAAATAGTAATAATAAGTAAATTGTAAGTATAAAATTGGGAAATATGCTTAATAAAACTTATTTTGAGATTGTAATTTTATCTCTTTTTGGTTTATTTGATAAAAAAAATAGTATATTACTATTATTTATAATTAAAATAATAATTTTAAAACTATCCAAATATTAATTAATTTTTTAATAAATATAATTAATACAATTGCTAAAAAATAAAAACAATTATATATTTTTAATACATAATAATAATATATAGTATTATTTTAATATTGATTTGGTCAAGTAAAAATATACTAATAATATTATTATTTAGTATATTTAATAATATTATTAATTTAGTAATTTGACATTGAAGTAAATAATTAAATAATAATAAGAAGAATTAAAAATTTGTTATTATTCTTGAATTAAATAATAATTAATAATATAATAACAAGACCAAACAAATGGATAATAAAGAATTCAATTTGGGTGTTTTAATTGCATATCTTTCTCCAAACACATGAGTTACATTTCAGTCCACTACCGAACGCCACCTGCCAAACAAGATCACCCTTTTTCAGTGTTTCAATTCTTTCGATGAATTTCATTTCATACCAGACCGAGCTTGATGAAGTGTTTCCGACTCTGTATAACGTTGATCTTGAAGGCATACAGTCCTCGTCTGTTAATTTCAAGTTATCTTGCAACCCGTCGATGATAGCTCTTCCTCCAGCATGGATACAATACGCTTGGAAAGTTTCTCTGAAGTTAGGCATGAATTCCTCTCCTTTAGCTGTCTTCCCGAGTTTTTTCTTAATGAAGAAGATGACGAAGTTAATCATGTCTCTATATGAAATGACTTGTGGCATTAAAATGCCCATGTTTTGTGTTAATGCTCGAGTGACGCACTTCAACAATTCTCTTCCGATCTTCACGCCGACCTTTCCATCTTTGTCTTCATATTGGAAGACTGCCTTATATGAGTCATCGAACTTCCCGTGGTGAATTCTGACGGTGGTCAACAATTCAAATTTGGCTTTGTTGAGCCACTTTCTCTTATTAGAAAGTAATATAGCAGCACCGCCCATTCTGAATAAAGTGTTAGAAATTAACATACCCTTCTCTTTCCCATCATACCAATTCTGTGTGATATTTTCAGTTGAGAAGACCAAAAGGTTAATATTGGGGTAGACATTCAAAAGATCTCTGGCTAAGTCGATGGAGACCAATCCCGCACTACACCCCATCCCCGCCAAATTATAGTTCTTGCATGTTGGTTTCAATTTGTACATGTTCATTAACATGGCACTGATCGATGGAGTTGGGTTGAACAAGGAACAATTGCAAATGACGATATCAATGTCCTTTTGGGGATTAATTTTGGTTTGCTCAAATAACTGATCGCAGCAGTTCTTCATCACAATTTCACATTCTTCACGTGAAAGAGCCATTGTAGTCTTAAATGGATATTGATGGAAGGGGCGTGGCAAATACGTCTCATCACCAAGTCCAGTTCTGTAAAGTAATTTACACTGGAAGTCGATATACTCTTGCTCAAAGAGTCCACATTTCACTATAATGTCTTTGACACCATCAGCTGTCATCTTCAACTCATCGGATGGCCAACAGCAAGCAAAATCTACTAAGAGGACTCTTCTTCTTCGAGTGGCCCAGAAGTATATCAACCCACCAACAGCAATCAACACTAAAGCAAACCCTATCAACAAGACCTTTTTGTTCTCTTCTACAAAGATGCCAGAAGACAAGTCTAAGTAACTCTTCCAAAATTTGAATATTTTTAAGACGATCAATGTTGGGATAGTAATTAAGACTAATTTTACTATAATGTCTATAGCTTTGGTCAATGGAGAACCCCTATTCACGTTGTCTTTCAAACTCTTCAAAATAGGGTTTTGCTCGCCAATCGACTTAGGGTACCAATACGGCTTTAAGTATTTCTCTTTCTCATCTACAACCTTTGGCTTTGGGGCTTCTTCCTTTACCTTTGGTTCGGTAACAGCCGGTGTTTGAGCTGATTCACTCATAAATCTGATTCTTTGAAAGTTTGGTGGGGTTTTCAAAGGGTTTTCCTCCTATTTTTATGAGGAACTCGTTTTCTTGGCAGCTGTGGGTGGCTTATTTGTTTCAAAACAAGAGTTACTTATTTTATTATTTAATTTAATTCACTAATAACTCATTTATGGTTTGCTAAGAACTGGGCGATTTTTTTCGAAACCACACATTTTTCAGTTCGCTGTCGTAAAAAGAGACAACACCGCGACATTCGTGAAGTGCTGACAGTTTGTGGCAATCAAATTCGCACTTCCCGCCCATTTGTGCATTTTCCCCTCTCCATAATTTTCTTTCTTCTCCACTTTTCGACTTTTTCAGTCAAATTTTTTATTTTTCTTATTGAAAAAATTTGTCCTGTTCTTCTCATAATTTCGCAATAACATTTTTGAGTTTATAAAATGTTTTGTATCACATTTAAAGAAATAAATTGTTTTATATAACATTTTTATACCATAAAAAGAAAAGTGAATAGAACTTCAAAAAAGAAAAACTTCAAAGGGATGCCAAATAATAATAAAAAAAAATAAGAGAAAAGAACTTAAAGAACTTGAGAAATTAAAGAGTGTAAATGGGTGACAGTATCGACAATTATAGTGGAGGAATTGCAATTGGGATGTGTGGGAAAAATTGTGTGGCGTTAGCAGCGGATAATCGATATGGTCTTCGTTATCAATTTGCGTCGTCAAATTTCCATAAAGTGTTTCAGTTGAATGAACATTGTTTAGTTGGTGGGTGTGGGGTCTATGCTGATGTTCAGACGGTGTTTGTTGTTCTCAAGAATAGATGTTGTGATGGATATGAAGGATGACTTATATGTAGATTCGAACAAATTAAATACGACGCAAACCTGTACAAATTGAGAGAAGGCCGCCCTATCGGTCCAAGTCAATTGGTGAACGCAACAGCACATCTCTTATTCAGCAAACGATTTAACCCATATTACATGTCACCTATCATCATCGGGTTCGATGACAATGGAAAGACTTACTGCTCTTCTTATGATTACATCGGCGCACCAGGTGACTACAGATTCGCGGCTGTAGGAACGGGGTGTAATGAGGCAATGGGTGTCTGCGACTCATTTTATAAGGAAGATATGGAGCCAGAGGAATTGGTCGAAACAATCGGACAATGCTTGCTGGCTGGAGAAAACAGAGACGCGTTCTCGGGATGGGGCGTTGAGGTTTATCTCTTGACTAAAGAGGGGTGCACGATTTACAACTTCAAGTCGAGACAGGATTAATTCATCTCGATCTTTTTTGTCATTTGTGATTGCTTTATAACTCACTCATCAGAGTTATTTAACTATTAAATATATAAAATGTTTTTAGTATAGTATAGAATACTATTAGTATAGTTTTTTTTTTATTTCAAAAAGGAAAACTAATAAGTCTTGTTACTACTATGGTTGTTTGTTGTATCATTTTCATTTTTTTAATGCGAAAGTGTCCGTTTGAATATTGTTGACAAGAAATCACAAACAGCTCCCAATCAACCTTCTCGAAAACGCACAAGGGAAAACAATTGTTCTTGAACTTAAAAACGGAAACAAATACACGGGAACACTCGAAAAGTGCGACAGAATGATGAACCTTCACGTAAAAGACTCGGTTCTCATACAGCCAGACGGCAAGAAGTTTAAAGTTGCGAAGATCATCGTGAAGGGAATGGCCGTGCGGTGTTTTGCGGTCGACGGCGAGCTGTTGAAAAAGAGTGACAAATGATTTTTGTTCTTTAACATTTTGTTATACATAACATTATAATGCATAAATAGAGAAAAGCGATCTCAAAAAAAAGGATGGGGATAAAATCGCAACTCTGCACTCTGTTGTTGATTCTTTCTGTCTCAAGTCAATTCTCAAGTTGTAACAACGCAAAGGATATAGTCCTCGACTCTGATGTAATCGAGGAGTACGGAGACACTAGTAGAATTCCTTATTCTTCTTATATATTCCGTCACCAAACACTCCAACAAAAAGGGTACTGGTACCGAGTGTCCCCAGAGAAGCCCGAGCTCATTGTGATAGACACTTGCTTCACTGGTCAAACTATTTTTGACAGTAAGATCATTGTGTTTAACAAGTGTGATAATAATGTTGGGGTAGGACCAACAGCAATGAATGATGACGGTATTAATGGATGTGGGAAACAAGCGCGTCTTGTCTATTATTTGACCTCTCCAATTTTTGTGTTCATCACTGGAGCAACTCAACTGGACACAGGGGTCTTTGGCCTCCGAATTGCCAAAATGCCGACTAGAAACAACACTTCTCCAAGCACAGCAAAGCATCTCTCTGTGCCAACAAGCGTCGAGGTGTTCAGTATCCACGAAACTTCTTCTCATTTTTTCACTTTTTACATGCCCGCCATTCCAGTCGAGATATCAACTTGTCACAAAATCACTGACACGTCGACAATCTTAACGCTGGACGCAAACACACCAAATGAAATAACAAAAACGAGTAATTGCCCGAATAGGCAGAAGGGGAGTTTTATTGAGGTTTTTGGAGATAACTATTCTGGAGCCAATCAGATGCATTCAATCAGAGTCACGGCGGAACGACGAGGACGGTATGTATTAACAATTAAATTCAAGTCATCTGAAACCATACCAATTACTATTAGAGAACTACCATTTTACCATATTTCCAAGCCGAGTGGTGAGAAGTCGAGATCGTGTGGTGAGTATCCAGCGGAACAAGGGACGTGGTATGTGATATTAGGAACTGGCGAGGACTATTTGATCTCGACGTGTCAGTCGTCTGTTCTTGGTGAGAACATCGGAACGACTGTTGAGGTATTTGAGAACGGGATTGACAAAGTGAGTGATGTGAGATGCCAGCGAGATTCGTTTGGGTGTGGAATACACGGACGTATAATGCGCAAATTTGAAAAGAATAAAGAGTATTTCATTAAGACTTCTTGTCAAGTCGAAGGACAGTGTAGCGCGACACTGCTCGTCCAAAGAATTCTCAGAAGCTCTGAAGAGTGCAGAAGACCGATCATACTTGATGTGGGACAAGGAGGAATAGTCTCGCACAGTAAAGTGTCTTCATTGTCACACCCGTGCCAACCCATCAGTATTTTTGGAAGTTGGTACAAGTTAAGGATCAGAGAGAACGTCAATTATCGATTGTATGGAGGTGTGATCGATGGATTTAAAACGTATGGAAGTCTCATTTCTGCAAAAACATGTCGAGGACCGTGTGAAGAGAAAGAAGGCGTCTTTGTGAAGAAATTGTATAAAGGGGGAGAGTACCTTTTTATCGTGCGAACTTCGTCGTTATTAGTAAGTGGAGTTTCGTTGTATGTTGTGCCCGAAAGAGAAACGTCATGTAACGAAATTGTGAATGAAACGCCATTTTCAGTGATTGGTATATTAGAAAACAGAAGAGAGTATTACACATTTGAAGGGGATGGGAGTGAATACATAATCGAGACGTGTGGCGTTGATACACAAGTTGACACCATTGTGACGGTATTTTCTTCGTGTGTTTCAACATTGACACCAATAGCAATGAACGATGACTCTTTGATATGTGGAGACTCTGCATCATTTTTGAAGCAAAAGTTCAATGGAAAATTTATTGTCGCAGTGGATGTATCACATAAAGCAGATAAAAGTGTTGGCCCATATAGATTGAGTGTTTACAAAGATATAAAGTCACCAAATGATGTTTGTCACAACCCGCTTCCAATAAAAGAGGGGACTCGGTTTATATACACATATAACAACAGATACACCACTTTCCCGGGGATACAAAATGTTCAGAGCAAAGGAGAGTTTTTCAAAGTAGATACTGGAAACGCCATTTTGGAAACATGCAATTCCATTGTTAAAAGTCGAATTGAAGTGTTTTCAAGTGATTGCCAGGCCATCATCCCATCGAGAAAAATACTTGGGTACTGCAGGAATGGCGAGAAAGTTAATGTGAGGAGGGGGGACATTGTGTTTGTAGGAGGGTATAACGCCATGGACATGGGTCTGATCCAAATTGAAATGTTTGAAATGTCGCTGTGGCCGCTTGTAGTTTTGTTTGTGTTTATTGCGACAACGGGAGCTATTGTATTGTTTGTGATCGCCTTCGACAAGATCAAGCACTTTTGCAAGATGCTTTGCACGAAAAATGAAAAGTATCACGACTTCTAAATTATTGAGTTATCATTTGAATAAAATTATATCGTGAATAATATTGATTTATTTTATGTGTAAATGAAGTCTTATTTACATCTATTATATTATTTAACATTAAAACGAACAATGGAAAAAGTGGAAGAAAGAAACAAATTAACTTAATAATCGAAGAAGTCGAAATTGGGGAGCTCGAACTGGTTAGGCGACCCTCTGAACTCGAGTTCTTTTTGGGTGGGTCTCGCTTTGTTGTGCATGTTGAATCTTTTTCCAGTAATCATTGATACAATTGACAATAAGAATGTCAAAATTCCCGATAAGCACAACAGTGCTGTCATCACAGTGACATAGAAGAATATGTCGTCTGTGCACATGAATTTCATCACGCTATACACGTAATTAATGAATGGAGTTCCGTGTCTAATACTTTCTATTGGGCCATAAACGACATCGTCGATGATATTCATTTGATTGAAATACGCGGTGTATTTCTTTGCAAGGTCTTGCATATATGGTTCAATGCATTTTGTTTGACACACTTCTGATGAGTACAACAGACTTCCAGTAATGAACGGGACGTATTTGAAATTCATATAATTATCGAGTGTGACAGTTCTGTCAGTAGGACACAGTAAATTAGACCCACAATTTTTCTTCAAGAATTCATTCATTTCATCAACAATTTGTGTTCTGAACGTCACATTAAATAAGTCTCTGATTTGTAAGATAGCTGGATCATTGATTGGAAAGAAGTGGAGGACAATACTCTGCTCTTCATAATTCTTGGAATTCAATATGTTATCTCCGACCAAACAAGCGTCTGATACAGAGACATTTAATGGATATGTCACTGCTGCAGAAAACAATAAAACACTCGCTAAGAACCACCCAAATATAGAAATGCCAGAAGACATCTGGTAATGCATAGTACACGTGGCAAAGACTAATAAGACCAACATGAAACTAGTGACATACAACCCAAACAATGTAAGCCCTTCTCGCGTCTTGTTATACTTTTTAGTGTAATCTCCGAACCCTCCGACATTTGTTTTAATTTCGACTTCCATTTTTTGCACCAATTTCATTGAGGCATTAAAAACAGTTTCATACGAGCTGAATGGGATTGCGTAAAACGCGTTGTTGATCAACCGAATGTTTCGATCGACAGCAGTCACGACACTTTTTGAAGACTCGTCGACCGCTTTCATGTCAGCGGCAAGAGCTGAATTATACATGAAAGTGATGAGAATCACTATAGATACAGCTAAGACCCAAACTAATGTACACATCTGACACATCTTCACATGAACATAACTGTACCCTTCCCCTTTCGCTTTCACAAACGCTTTGGGACATAAACATCCCCGTGTCCCTCTTACACCACCAAGACATGGGCGAGCTAAGTACCATACTAATGAAACTATAATTACACCTATTATTATAATAAAGAGCCACCACCCTTCAAGAAGTAAGGAATCTTCATACCTCGAGTAATTCAATTGTGTGATATCATAGATTTGAGTATCCCCTTCAACAGGAAAAGGTACAGCACCAAACTGAAAATTGTCGACTGTTATATAAGTCCAATCGTTCGATGAAAGAAGATGTCGACTGTGGTTTGTCCGGTCTATTAAACTCTCACGAAAGTCGGACGTGATAGGACTCTCAAAGGAATGCACAGATATCAACAGTGCAAAGACTATCAATGTACGCACTACCATTCAAACTGCTTTTTAGAAGTTCTTAGTGATAATGACTACCTGCCTTTTCGCTTCATCAATCGGTGTATTTTTATTTATTTACTATTTTTATAATTCAGTTATTAACTTTTTATAGTTTTGACATCCATTCATGAAAACGTTGTGTATTTCCATTTTCAAACAATTTGATGGGTTTTAGCATCTTTTTTCAAGATGGCATTTTTGTCATTTTCTTACCATATTATTAGAATCAATTTTGAAAATGGAATAGTATTAAATTGGAATTAAAATGGTTAATAAGAATAGAATTTGTTTTATAAAAATAAATAAAATGAGTGTGTATGAGGAATGAATACTAAAAATTGTTTTTAATAACTGAATAAAAACCCGAAAAATCACACAACTTTGTAGTATTTTTTCATTTAAAATATTACAAATGATAAAACATTGAGTTGCAAAATATTTGCAAAAAATATAATATTTAATTATTATTTTTATTGTTTATATTTATAATAATTTAATTACTAATATTTATAGTTTTTTATTATAACCCAAAAAATAATCAAATTATGATTTGTAGTTTAATTATAATTGAAAAAATCAAAAAATATTTTATTGAACTAATAAAAACAATAAAAAAATGGAAAACCTCAAAATTTGATCTTGAATAATGAGATCCATCAGAAAGAACCAAACCAAAATCAATTCAGAAGAAAAACACAAAAACGAGCCCAAAAACAAAATGGAAAAGTGAATAATTAAAGTAACTATAATATAATACACAAACATAATAAGAGAGACAATTAATTAATTTTACTAATAAATGGAATTAAAACAACAAGAAAAAAAAAGGGGAGGAGACGCGAAGAAAAAAAGAAAACAAAAATGATGAGAAAAAACGGACGTAACTGAAAAATCCAATGGCGGAACAACAAACATCTCAAGCCCCAAGACAATTACTTCAAATGGTGAAGTTCATTGAATTTGAGGCGAATTCCAAACGCCAAGAGATCCAATCGAATGCCGAACAGGAGTGTGAACGCGACAAAGCAAGTTTCATAGAAAAGGAACGTAAGAAGATAGAAGCCGACTACATTCATAAAGTCAAAGAAGCTGAAGTCAAAAAGAAAATTGCCTTTTCCCAAGAACTGAGTGCTTCTCGTTTAAAACTTCTTGAGTCGGAAGATAAGCACATCGAGGACTTGATGACTCTTGTCAAAGACAAACTTCAAAAACAAATTCTGAACGAGGACTACAACGACCTTCTTGTCAAACTTATTAAGGAAGGCGTTAAAAAGGTCGAAGATAAGAAAGTCACTATCATGTGCATCAAAAACGACTTAGAAAAGGTCAAAAAGGCTATCGATATCGTGACTAAAGAGGATAACTCAATTAAAATCACTTTGGATCAAACCCATTTCTTGGACCAAACCGCTATTGGCGGGGTTGCTGTAGCTTCGATGGGAGATAAAATCGTATGTTACAACACTTTGGAACATCGAATGAATTCCGCTTTGATGATCTCACTCCCACAAGTCCGTGTAACAGTTTTCCCTTCACTTAAGACGAGAAAACAGAAGAATTGAATTATTTCGATTTTGAGTTGTGGTTCTTAGGGAATTCTGATAACACATGATAATAGTATTGAGAAAGATTTGTTTTAACCAAGTGGTTAGATATCTTTTTTCTATTATTAGAAAATTTATTAGTAATAATTTTAGATATATAATTATAGAATAAATATATTATAATTATACTAGATATACTAGTAAATAGAAATATACTATATTATAATAAAAATAAACCATAAACTGCATAATTCAAAAATTAAAGTTCATCTTTTTCATAGTCTTCATAATTACCATATTGCTTGTTATCATAACCCGGAGCTTCTTGTTGTTCTCCACCGCCATACTTAGCTAATATTGGCTTAGCAATTTGCTCGAGTTGTTTGTATTTGTCATCACTCTCTTCCTTAGTTGGGTTAGTGTTGTCTTCAAGGAACTTAGTGACTTCCTCGACTGCGTCTAACAAGACTTTCTTGTCAGCTTCGTCGATCTTTGAACCAAGTTTTTCTTTATCATTTACAGAGTTCTTAATTTGATATGCGTAATTCTCAAGGGAGTTCTTGGCTTCGACTTGCTCTTTAATCTTTTTATCATCTTCTGCTCTCTCTGCAGCTTCCTTGATCATTCTCTCGATTTCTTCTTCAGAGAGTCTTCCTTTATCTGAAGTAATTGTAATCTTTTCGGACTTCCCAGACTTCTTATCTTCAGCAGAGACTGTCAAGATACCATTCACATCGACTTCAAATGTGACTTCGATCTGTGGAACACCTCTTGGTGCCGCCTGAATGCCATCCAAGTCGAATTTCCCCAAGAAGTGATTGTCCTTAGTCATAGCTCTTTCACCTTCAAATACTTGAATAGTGACTGATTGTTGATTGTCTTGATATGTAGAGAAGATTTGTGACTTAGAAATTGGAATGTGTGTGTTTCTTGGGATTAAAGAAGTCATCACACCACCGACTGTCTCGATACCAAGAGTCAATGGAGTCGTGTCTAACAAGACTATATCTTCAGTACCTTTAATGTTACTCAACACACCACCTTGTACAGCAGCTCCGTAAGCAACAGCTTCGTCTGGATTGATCCCACGAGATGGCTCTTTGCCATTGAAGAATTCCTTAAGTAATTGTTGGACCTTTGGAATACGAGTAGACCCACCCACCAACACGACTTCATGAATAGCTCCTTTCGACATCTTAGAGTCTTCTAAGACCTTCTTGACTGGGGCAATAGTAGACTTGAACAAGTCCATATTAAGTTCCTCAAACTTCGCACGAGTTAAAGTGAATGAGAAATCGACGCCATCGGCCAAATTCTCAACTTCGATTCTGTCTTGTTGTTGGACGGAAAGAGTTCTCTTTGCTCTTTCAGCTTCTCTTCTTAACCGAGTGACTGCTCTCTTGTCCTTTGACACGTCTTTACCATATTTACGCTTGAAGACGTCGAGGAGGTATTCAGTGACTTTCTGATCAAAATCGGAACCACCGAGATGGGTATCACCTGATGTCGAGACAACATCAAAAACGTTTTCTTCGATATTCAAAAGGGAGACATCGAATGTTCCTCCTCCAAGATCGAAGACCAAAATGTTCTTCTCACCGGTGACTTTGTTCAACCCATAAGCCATAGCAGCGGCAGTGGGTTCATTCAAAATTCTTAAGACATTGAGACCAGCAATCTTACCGGCGTCTTTAGTAGCTTGTCTCTGAGCGTCATTGAAATATGCTGGAACGGTGACAACGGCGTGCTTCACTTCTTTACCAAGATACATCGAAGCGGTGTCGGCCATCTTCTTTAATATCATAGCGGAGATTTCTTCTGGGGAGTAAGTCTTCTGTTCGCCCTTATAAGTGACTTCGATGAATGGCTTGTTATTCTTATTCACTATTTTGAATGGGAACAGCTTCAAATCTCTCTGGACTTCCTTGTCTGTGAATGATCTTCCAATGAGTCTCTTAATTTCAAAAACAGTGTTCTCGGGGTTAGAGACCTGTTGGTTTCTAGCAGCTTCACCCACCAAGATTTCTGTGTCTGTAAATGCCACAATAGATGGTGTAATTCGGTTACCTTGGTCGTTCACAATGATCTCGACTCCTTTCCCTTCGCCGTTGTACATACCAACAGCAGAGAAGGTCGTTCCAAGATCGATACCAATGACTGGTCCGTCGATTTTGTCTTCTTCGTCCTTAGGCTTTTCGTCCAAGGCGAATACAGTTGTGATGAAAAGTATGGTAAGAAGTGTATGGAGTACCATAATGCCTCTAAAGTTCATTCTATTCTTTTTATTGAGGACTATACGTGGCGCTTCATGGGGATAGGTTCTGTTTTGTATAACAATTTTTTATTTGTGAAACAACAGTTTATAGTTTATTTATAATTGACTGTATTATTGTTATTAGTTTCTCCTTAATTGAAAAAAGTATTTTTGAAACAAAAAAGAAGATAAATTTTGTTTTTTGTTTTCTTTTTAGTGATGGAATTTCCTGAAAATTTAGTGTTGTTTTTGCAAATGAAATTATTGTTTATCTTTTTCCAAAAAGTTATTTATAATTTTTATAATTTAATTTAACTATAAATTATAGTAAATAGTTGAGTTAAATAGAACTTACTTTCTGCAAAACACGTCAATGTATAGGCAATATGATGTGTTGCATCTTTATGACACCAGCCATTCCGTAACATTTTAATTACCGATTCATTGTTTACAACACGCATATAACATGTATATACTTGATTCATTTAATTTTCTTTTATAGTTTAAATTATTAAAAAAATAACTATATAAACACTCTTATAACAAACACTGATTTATTCGAGTTTTCCATAAATCTCGTTGAGTCTACAGACAATTTCATCAACAGATATTCTTTTCTGAGGGCTTGCGTCCCAGCTTTCATTCATTAGTTGATACATCTCAGCAGTCAGACATTCGCATTTTTCTGGTCTTCCACACTTAACTACATAGTCTGCTACATTCCACGGATACTTGAACTTTGGGTCATCTCCAGGGTATGGGTCTTTCCAAGACAAGCATTCGTATAATGTAATTCCATATGAATACACATCAGCACTTTTTGTGTAATATCTCTTCTCTAATATCTCTGGTGCCATGTATATCGGTGTCCCAACTCCTTTCGTGAACGTCATGTTCGTCATCATAAGACTATACCCTCTTGATGTCCCAAAATCAGTTAGTTTAGCATTAACAGTGTCATTCGCATTAACACTCATCACTAATAAATTGTCAGGTTTGATGTCTCGATGCAACACTCCGCAACCATGCAAGTAAATTAACCCTCGCCCCAAGTCTATCATAAACTTAACTCGCAATTTCATCATCACTTCTTCTCTTCGAGTCTTCGTTCTGTATCCATAAAGTGATCCATATGCAGCAAATTCAGTGACCATACTCACTTTACCTGGAAGGTACACCGCTCCATAGAAGTGTATAACATAGTCAGACCGCATTTTATCAAGCATAGATATCTCCTTTTCAAACTCGAAGTACATCTCATCACTCGACGTGTTTTTCATCTTTTTGATCGCTACTTTGTTGCCTCTGAAATCACCTATAAACACAACACCAAACGTCCCTTCTCCAATTTTCTTGACCTCATGCAATTCATCAGGATCAAGACGAGAAGAAACTTTCGTCTTTGCTTCGAACTTGATGTTCTTAATTAGCTCTTCTCCATGGAAGTTACAACACAACGCAATTTCTTCCTTTATATGTGTTGTACAAAACACAGTGATATACATCCTCAGTTCACATGCATATCCATGTGGTATTATTATAACTGGAGGGTCAAACCGGATTTTGTACTTGAGTGACTCTTCTTTAACTGTCAATTGTATTTTCACTTGGCGTTTGTTGGTATTCCCAATACAAAAGAGTTGACATTGTTCAGAGTCAATATCAAATGGTTCATTTCGTGTTATTTCCATTGTGTCACAATTCGATAAGATCCCATCTCCCAAGTCTCTAAATGTAATGTTGGACTTATTCATTTTAAAGAGATTGGCATCAGCCAGAGCTTTCTTTGCAGAGATGTTCTTAAAGATAATAAATGCAGTGATGAATATTAGAAACATGAAGAACAAGAAGACTCCGATAATGGATAACAGAATCACCCACCACACTGCATGTGTTTCACAATATTTTCCGTTGTCACTCGGACGATCCCAAAAGTCACATTTGGTGCACACAGAGTTTCTTGACTCAACACATTTATCTATGGTTGTATACCAAACACAATTCAAGTCAAGGAGCACATAATTGTCAAAACATGATGTACATTCATCACTTGATGAACAAACAGAACACCCGTTCTTACATTCTGAACACTCATTGTTGTTGATTTGATAATATCCAACAAGACAACGCGAACATCCATAATCATCAATTTCATTTGCACATCCAACGATATAACTTCGAGGTGCACAATCACCACTGATTGTTCTGTAGTTGGTCGAATTGCAAGTAATGCATGTGTTATTCATGATACAACTCTCACACTTTTCATCACATTGAATACATTCAAATCCACTCTTGTAATATCCAATTTTACACTCAACACATCCATTCCCAAAGGATACTATTTTATCACACGTCTCTAACAAATCATGATTTGACTTGCAAGCGTTCCCACTCAAGTAATACCCAGCTTCACAGGAGGTACAAAATAATTGATTTCCAAAACATTCTTTGCATTGTTCATCACAACTTTCACAATCATCTGTTGTCTTTTCATGATACATACCTTTAGCACATCTGTTACATCCCTTTTCACTTCCTTCTTCACAACTATCATCAAGTGTTGACATACAAGAATGTGAAAGATTCAACAACAATCCAGATTTGCATTCAACGCATTTCCCATTTAATATTGTCTTGCAATTCTCTTTTCCTTTTTCACACACCCCATTTTCATCTTTCTCGTCGTTTTCTTCTTTTTCACAGCTCTTCAAATTACACGTTTTGTCTTGTGATAATTCATTATTGTCTCTACACGAAATTATTCTTCCATTCTCGCACAAATTACTTCCCGAATAAGTCTCATTACATTTCACACAATTGATGCCATTTGTAAAATACCCAAGTTGACAAGATACAGTCGAAGATTGACTGATGTCTATTGCATTTGGGGGTGCATCAATACATATACCATGTTCATTTATCAAACGCTTTGTTGTGTCACACAGAATACATTCCTTTTTGTTTAATTTCAACTGACATCCATCTTCCTTTGTTGGAATACACGAATTGCTTTCCAAACTAAACCCATCAGAACATTTATTGCAAAAACCTCTTTCATCAAAAAGACACTTCAAGTGCAGTCTGCAATTCCCTTCGTCCAAATAATAACCATCTGAACATTTCAGACATTTGCCGTTTTCACCTTGACAATGAATACACCCCGTTTTGAGACATGGAACACATACTTGTAATTCATTGAGACCACCCACAATACACTCTTCAACAAAATCACATTTGAATGTTCCACCTTTGAAATGGCCAATAGTACACTGAACACCATTGTATTCAAATACATTTTTCGCTATCACTACAACATCCTTTGATAGATTTTGTGTTGTCACATCGACACTAAAATTGGATTCTATTGAGAATACAAAACTTTGAACATGAACCAATGAAAACACTACATTTCCAAAGGTGATAATGTCATTTTCTGATGGGTTTATTGAGTATCTCATCGAAGGAAGCTCCCTTAAGTGAACTTGAATCTGTTTAATAAATTCAAGAGGAGTAATATAACATCCATTACACGGACAAAATGATTCAACAAAATGTGATGCTTCCATTGTTGTTCCATTAAGATGACAAAACACATCTTGAGAATCTCCAAATCTTAAAAGGTGGTTGTCTGCAAGCATATTGAATCCTAGTGGAAGTGTAGAAATGTTAAATGGTTGAGTAAAGAGTGCAAAGTCAAACTCTTTGTCATGATTCATTTCAAAATCTTCAAGTATTATCAAGCTTTCATTGATTATAAATAATGCAACATCATGAACATTTCTTTGGAGAGAAACAGTCACTGAACCCCCCTTCATTATTTCAACCATTTCAGATTGTATTGAACTCTTTTCATCAATAGTCAAAGTCCCTCCAAGTTTTAATGATCCAGCCTTAATATTTATTCTTCTGTTGAAACTTTCAAAATACAAATTACTTGTTTTTGTTTCGGCATTGAACAAAGTGGAAACGAATAAAGAAGAATTTGAAAGTATTGTTATTTTTGATTTAAAGCCAACACTAAGAGCTTCAAAGTTTGAGAAACTGTTGTTTGTTAAATTCAAATCACTTGAAGTTAGATTGACTTCCTTTTTTGAATAGAACTTGGAAGTGTTTTCAAGTGTCATACAGTTTGTTCCAGCCACTAAAATAGTGTTGACATATAAATATGAATTGTCCAAGAGTTTTGCATTGTTTCCAAAATCAAGTGTCATTTGTTCTTGACTTCTCAAAATGGAATCTCCTTTCAAGTCAATTTCTGAACCATACTCTATTTTCATTATTTTGTTTATGATCAATTCCACATCACCTTCCATTTTAAATATTGACTCGCTCACCAAAAATGAATCCATTTCACAATTACCTTCTTGAGTAAGATCCATCCCTATTAATTCCTCTGGAGGGCATTCTGCTTGAAGATGAACCAAGAAAAAAAGAATAATAAAGATAAGTCCAGTGATCATTAATAATTGATTTTTGAGTGATTATTCATTTAAACCTAAAGATGTATAGATGGTTAGATCATCTCTTTTTGGAGCCAGATTATCAATGCAAATGTTTTAATTTTGAAACTGTTATTCCTTATTAAGATATATTTTCTTCATAATAAAAGAAAAATCAATTTATTCATGAATTAGATGTTTTCTTTATTGTTTATTACATTTTTGTTTTTATATATAATTATTTGTCTCCTCTGTACCATTTGATGAGTTAAAGATGACATTTCTAATGCATTAAACAAACTGTTTAAAAATCTTAAACCAGTTTAAGTATATTGATTTTTCACTAAAATTTGAAAGTAATTTTATATTTTAAAAACATTGTATAACTTTTCATATTTTTATTTGTAATAAAAGAAACCTCAAAAATTGTTTTTTTCCAAAAATGAAACTTAACATAACATATTTTTATGTATTCAATAATTTCAATTATTTTTCTCCAATGTTGTTGTTTGTATATTCTCAACACTTCTTGTTCGTTAATGAACAGTTCTAACCAGATATTTATTCAAATAACACTATAACCATTTTAACTACCAGACTAATAGATGTAAATATGTGGTTTGTGTTATTATAATAGACAATTATTGTATGTATCTATTGGATAGTTGTTGAGTCGGAGTTAATCTGTTATTATTCCAAACAAAAACATAACAGTAAATAGTTTGTGAAAAAACAATTTTCGAATGTTTCCATACAAAAAAATATAAAAAATATTGTAATAAAATAGGTACAAAAAGTATACCTTTTGTTTTAATTATACAATTCTAACTCTTAAAAAACAGATTTTCAAAAGAAATGCTAAATGTAATAATAATACAATTTGTATTATTTTTTTAGATTTGATTTACTATATTATTATTATAAAACAAACAAATTATATAATTTGTATAAAATGACGAAACGACTAAAATTCACTGAAATAATAAAACCCTATACAAATAAATACAGATACTCAACCATTCCGCCGCCATGTCCCAAGAGAAAGTGAAGATTCCTTTTGAACAGAAGAAAATATTTGACAAGATGTATTCCAAATTTTGGCAGATGAATCTTCGTGAGAAGATTATATCTCCCGATGACAAGATTATAATCGGATTTTCTGGCGGAAAGGACTCGCTACTTCTGCTTCACATTTTGTCGACATTAATGAAGAACAAGAAGTACAATATCAAAGTCCTTGCAATTCACGTTAAAAATGACGAAGTGGGCTATCACCTCGACGCAGACTTCTCTCGCAAACTCTGTGAAGACCTTAATGTTCCATTTCTTGTTCTCGACTCTGAGCGCGTCGCTCCCAAAGACATCGAAGACTCCGACAAAACCACATTTTGTTTAAGTTGTGGTAAAAATCGACGCCGTGCGTTATTGAAGTATGCCAAAGAAAATGGGTACACTTCGATTGCGTTAGGGCATCACATGGACGATGTCGCGGAAACGTTATTACTGAACCAAATGTTCTGTGGGTGTATCGCAGGGATCCCTTCTCAATTTGTTGCCAAGAAGTACAACGTCAAATTCATTCGACCGTTGATCGACATCCCCGTCGTTTTAATCCAACAGTGGACTCATTATATCACTCTTCCCATCTTAATTAGATGTAACCACGAGTCCGACTCGATGAGAGGTGAAGTCAGAGAACTCCTTGAAAATCTGAAGAAGAAACACCCCTTTATAGTGCAGTCCATCGCACAAG